CTGGGAGGATTCCAGGGGCATTTCCAGAGGATTCCTGGCCCAGAGAACAGGATGGGGCAGATTCCAGAAGGATTTCCAGAAGATTCCTTGCCCAGAGGATGGGACAGGGAGGATTCCAGAGCGATTGTGGAGGATTCCCTGCCTGGAGGATGGGATGGGGCAAATTCCAGGGGATTTTGGGAGGATTCCTCGCCTGGAGGCTGGGACTGGGAGGATTCCAGAAGGATTTTGGGAGGATGGGATGTGGAGGATTTCAGGGGGATGCGGGGAAGATTCCTGGCCCAGGGGATGGGATGGGGCCGAATCCAGGGGGATTTTGGGAGTGGATGACAGGGATTGGGTGGATTCCAGCGGGATTTCGGGAGCAGCTGGCAGGGATGGGGCTGTGCCAGGCTGGCGCGTGCCAAGGCGGGAAGAGACTCCGGGAAAAGCCGTTGGGAAGAGCCAGAGGGAAGAGCCGGAGGGAAGAGCTGGCAGATGCTGCAGGCTTGGAAATGTGCTGGAAGCGAACAGATGGGCCTGGATCCCTGGAGAGTGGAAATCCTTGGATGGGGGATGAGGGAAGAGCAGGGAAGAAGGAAGAAAAGGGATCAGGGAATTTCAGGGATCAAGGAATTCTAGGGATCAGGAAATAACAAGGATGAGGGAATTTCAGGGATCAGGGAATTTCAAGGATGAGGGAATAGGGATGAAGGGACAGCAGGGCTGAGGGAATTTCAAGGATGAGAGAATTCTCAGGATAAAGGAATTTCAGGGATCAGGGAATTCCAGGGGTAAAGAAAGAGCAGGGATATCCCGCTCCTTCCTTGGGATCCCACCAGCTCCAGGGAGGATTTTTGGGGCTTTTCCTGGATCCCCAAACCTCTCTCATCCCATTTTTTTCCTCCTCCCTCTTTCCCGCAGATCCTCTTTCCCAAGACCCCCACCCCAGCTTGCTCCAGGGATTTTCCTGGATTTCCCTTCCCCTTTTCCCTCGCTCTGTCCTGTCCATCCCCCCTTGGGAGCTGGAGGTGGGAGTGACAAAAGGGGAAACTGAGGCACAACGCGAATCCCAATGTTTCTGTCCCCATCCCCATGGCCCAATTCCCAGCAAAACCCTGCTCCCAGAATTATTCCCGATCCCAAATCCTGGATTTTTTCCCTGTTTTTCCGCAGTGTGCTACATCTGCTCGCTGGTGCTGTGCTGCCTGCTCACCTGCGCCATGCTGCTCCGGAGCCTGGGCATGCACAGGTGGGGCTGGCCCCGTTCCCGGCATTCCCATTCCCAATATTCCCATTCCCAATATGCCCATTCCTGATATTCCATTCCCAGTATTTCTATTCCCGATATCCCCAGTCCCATTCCTGATACCCC